AAGATAACTTACCATTTCTGTTGAAGGACTTCTGGTATTGAGAAGCTTCTGAATACAGAAAGAGGTGCTATGTGCAAAGTAGTCCTTAGTAAACTGTTATTGACCTGATTTTTCAAAATGCAGATTATCTACATTTCTCACTGAAGAAATGGAACTTGAAATACACCTCTGAAAATTAATGTATATCACTGCCCTATAAATCACTGTTTATATACCCAAGTAATTTGTACTTCACATTTCCAGCTTGATTGCTCAATTATTTCCAGCTACAGTCATATAGTGGGAAAAATGATCTTCTATCTCAGGAAGCTTCAATTTACTCATTTTTAGATTTTCAAGGGTGTCTTTGCATTGTAGGCTTTGAGATGTGCCTCCAAAACCTGTTTGCCAGTTGAAGCAGCAGTTGCATGGGACTGTTACCAAAGTCTACACTTATTAGACTAGTTTAAATCTGAGGTATCATTACTACATGGCTATGTACCTGATTTATTTTATTTTTTTATCTAAGCTGCAGTTTACTTATCCCTATTAGGATCTTAAAATAAGCCTCCAGAAAATATATATTCTTATACAATTTGAAATTAAGAAGGGTCGCTATTACCTATGGCAATACTACATACATTGTATACCTTTTGAAACGATGAGTGCCATCTTTGTAAGCACAAGGAGATCTTGTTCCATAACATTATCATAGTTTTACACTTTCTAAATAAAACGGATTTGTATTGTACAAAGCTTACAAGGTTCTTAGTTCTGATAACTACTTTGGCTTAATTTAGACAAGACAGGCTAATTCACAACTATTAACATTATCAGTTTCTGAAATTACATAACATGAAAACATGACTAATAGTCCCAACCAATATTTGTTTTTGCTATTGATTTTCCAACATATTCTCTATTGGTGGCTATCATTTTTGTTGACCTAAACATTTACTATTGGTTTTTCAGAATCGATTACAATGAGCAAAATTCAGGAAAGATGTGTTCTCCATTCAGGTAGATTTTTGATCCATTAAACATATTTAATATAAAATTATAAGACTATGGTACTGAAGAAATTCCCTGGCTTTGGCATCAAACAAGCTTCTGAGCCTGAAGAAGAAAAGTTTTCAGTACTTATTCAGAGGAGGTACGAGCCAAAAAGAATGACATGATTAACCAGTAAACTAAAATCATAATACACTGCCCTACACAGGCACACCAAGTAAGCCTATTCAAGTTATTTATTTGAAGGAACAAAGGGTGTGTTTTTTTGTTGTTTTTTTGTTGTTGTTTTTCCAGAAACCATCTGTACATTGTTAAAGAGAAGTGAATTACCTATATCCTTCAAAGGAAAACAATACTGTTAAGATAAACTTGGGGGTTATAAGGAATTAGAGTACTGACAGTGGGTCTGATTTACAAGATTTACACAGTTTTTTGGATTGGGGCTCACAAAAATTGGGTTACACAAAACCTAGGCACACAGGGATGTAGGGTTTCAGCAGAGTGAAATTGCCACAGCTGTCAGATCTGGAGCCAAACTTACCAATACCCAAATCTACTACTTTGTTTTGAGGTTACCTTTTGAAGCACCATACCAAGAAGGGACACATACACACACGCACACAACATAATGTCCTCTGGCTAAAGTGTAGAATTTCAGATAGTGGGATAGATCTTATGCTCAAAAAACTCACCTAAGACCCTAAAATTATGAGTTTCGAATATAATGCATTCTGGAATCTCCAGAGTCATCTCAGTTTTGAGATGCTGGTGCACTTGGGCACATTTTCAAACTTTTCACCGCAACCACAGGGACTGGAAACTCCTGCTCTCTTAAATGAAAGACGACATTTTCTCATGGTCACTTCATTTCAAGAATGGAGGCTTTAAAGAAAACACCAGTTAGGGCAAGTTTAATGATAAAATGGTAAAAACTGGCAATACTGTGGATCTTTTCAAAATCATGAACCACAAAAGAAGCTGGGCAGAATCCATTTGGTGTCAGATTTCACAGAAGTTTGCAGCTCAGCTCCGGTTTGTCCTAAAGTTCACTGAAGTTCAGCCTTTCAAGTCATTCTGATTTGATTTTTTTTTCTCCTAAACTATATAAAACTTGGAGTATTACATGGATTTGACATGAGCCAGGTGGAACTCAGTAGGTTTGATGGTGCCTTGATTTGAGATTTTGAGTCTGTTATAACACAAAACAGAAAGCAAAATTCCATCTTCCTCTGAAGCCAGAAAAAAGTTTCACATGGTTCTCTATAAGCCAATTTTGCTTCCTACAGAGTTCAAGACTCACAGGAGTCTATGTTTGCTTAACTGTGAAGTGAGGTTAGTCTGTGGGGTCTTAGCACAATGCCTGCAGGGAAAGCCAGTAGTCCTGGAAGCAGAGCAAAGGGAAGGGTGTGGATGTGCCTTTGGGCAGAGGGAGTATTTACCTCTCTCAAGGATGCAGAGCACCATAGTCTGTCCACACCACAAGACTTACTTGAGCCTGAGGCTCATTTTTTCTAAAAGATACAGTAGACTAATATACCTTTGCGTAGAGTACATTTACAGTGTATGCTCCTTGGTGCTGAGAGACTCATTTGCTGCATCACAGCTAGTGATATGAGGCCTTATCCCCATGGAGTCTACCCATGATTTGGTCAAATGCAATGCACAAAGATACCAATCTGACCGCTCCAATGCACTTCTACATGGCATGGCCTAGAGCTGGTCACCTGCAATGACCACAACATGCCTTCCAACCACAGCATGCTAAAATTCATCCCTTCTTGGCTAAAGGATCTTCTGCAAAATTAAATTCAACAAAATGATAATAATCTACAACATATCACATTCCTTTCAGGTGCAGTAAACTAGGGGCACAGACACTCTCCAGCATCCCTAAAATAAACTGGCCTATATTCCTACAATTACAGTTGGAGTGTAGAGACACTCAGGCTGCCTCACATATCAAAAGCACTCTGGTCACAGAAGCTGAAATACTCAATAAATTTACCCCAAGCCAGTTTATGCTGATCTGGCTCCATAGAACCCTGTGACAGCACCAAATTTCTTCTAGTACCAGACTATATAGCTTTTACTATAACAGACTTTAATATAGATTCTTAAAACACGGCAAATCTGAGCTCTACCACAAACCTGATTTTCCCGTTTGAGTTCTCTGTTCTAGCATCACCTCCTTCCTGTAAGACCTTCCTGTAAAGGAATTCACGTGTCTCCTAATCACTCTTCCCCAATTTAATTCTGCCCAAACCCTCCCACTCTCACCCAGACTTGCAGAGGAAGCTCTTACAGTTCCCTAATCAATCCATATCAGCTGGACATACCCTGGTAGAAAAGGGCAGATGACCCATCAGAACCAAAGTAGAGCCAAGCTTCCTTTACAGGGCCAAAAAAGCTGTGACAAGTATCAATAACACAGTAGTCAAAAATAATGCAATCATGTTTATATCTTTCTTCTCCTTCTATGACTTTTGATACTCTCTTTAACTAATAACATCAGATTGACTTTAAGGAGAAAAACTGGTTAAAAAAATGAATAAGGAGGAAGAAAGGGCTATAGACAGCCTCTATTAGAAATGCATAAACAACATTGTCTCTGCCAGTGTGACACTAAGGAATCTTCTTTTTATGGATTATTAAAAACAATGCATTTATTACCTTTACCTCTATAGTTTCTGCACTGCATGCACAGAAAAAAAAAAAAAAAAAAAAAAAAAGTGGTTTATTTTTTTCTGCCTGCTGAAGTTAGATGGCTGCAATGAACACAACTTGTGGAAAAACTCAGCTAAATTCCACACTTAACCCCAGCCAGAATTTGTCGAGATTTTGCCATTTGTAAATAAATCCATCCAAACAATCTGTGCAGATAATTTAGCAAAATGGGGGAATACATTAATCTACATTTTTCATTGTAATTTTTTATTATAAGTTTTGCTTTTGAAGTAATTATTTTCACTTTTTTTTTTTTCCTTTGGATGGAGGGTACTTAAAAACAGTAAATTTGTCTCCGCAAATTTGTGGTGTGGGTTTCCCAACATTAGCCAGAAGCAGAGGAAGTGGAGTATAGTTTTTAATCATTTTCAAGATCTCAAACAATTTGATAATTTATTTTCAGGATAAAAGATGAACCCCTGAAATTCTTCCTGAACTCACAATTCCAAAAAATTTAGACCAAGTCAGCTAAAAGCCACCACTCCACTTGGGGAGATACCAAAGTAATTAGTATATGCTTTAACCATCAGCTACAAAACGATTAGCAATGTTATTTGGAAATGGTTTATAGGATTTTCATACAAATATATAAAAGTCACTTTTTTTTTTAATTGTTTTTAATTGTGAAATAATTTGTGAACCTGTTTGCCTGCAACAGCCTGTGGAGCTACTCATAATACAGTTGCTCCCGTCACTTTTCTTGTCCAGAATTTTTGTTTATGGACATCAGTTTTCTTGCTTACAGTTTTTGTTTATGGCCAAAAGATGCATACGAAATGAGTGTTTTTGTGCATTATTGTACCTCTAACATTGATCACGGAATCACAGAATCATCTCGGTTGGGGGATCTTCAAGATCACCTAGTCTAGCCTCTGACCTAACACTAACCAGTCCTCCACTAAACCATATCACTAAGCTCTACATGTAAACATCTTTTAAAGACCTCAAGGGATGGTGACTCAACCACTTCCCCTGGGCAGCCCATTCCAATCCCTAAAAACCCTTTCAGTAAAGTTTTTCCTAATATCCAACCTAAACCTCCCCTGGCACAACTTTAGCCCATTCCCCCTCATCCTGTTGATGTTGAAAATCTGACTCAGTTGAGAGAACGTGAGCAACTGTCATCTATAAAGAAAGAATTTTGAGTTGTGAGACTGGCCTAAAGTGAAAATTGCACTGTTTTAATACCTTTGTTTCTCCAGCGTGAAAACTCAATTAGTATAAAGTCAAACTTCAAAGCATGTATTAAATTATTACCAATATTTATTGAGGTTTAACAAGAAAGCAAAAGACATGTATCTTCTCTGTTTATCTATACAGTTCTCATAGAGTTATTAAAGTTCTCCCAAAATAAGATTTTAATGATCTTTAATTAACACACAATAAATATTCTATTAAATGGAACTCTTTAGCTTGGGAAATTATTCATTTGAGACACTTACTTGAAGGGTTACCACTGATCTTTATCAGTGTAAGTTAGATTGCAATACTTCCTGTTAGGAATTTTGTAGGAAAGTTCATTTCAGGGTGAAAATCAATCTTGAACATTTCAAAGACACTTAAAGTCTAAATTGAATCTGAGTAATATTAGGCCTCTCTACTAGGTATGTAATTTGTGCAAACAGGTTCCCAAATGCTCCCTTATAAAATTAGTGGGAAGATTTAATTTTCTATGTTGATTATATGGTCAGTTTGGAGTAACAGCACTACTAAATTCCTGTCTTAGTTTAGGAGCAATAAATAAAAACCTCTGGTACCAAGCACACATCATTCACAAAACAGTAGTTTTCTCTGAAAATGAAAAATCTTCATCAAGATTTCAAGGTGAAGAGGAAACAGCAGAGCATGAATTCATTCATTCTTTCCTGGTAAGGAAATCTGCAGTCTTTGTAATCCAAATTATTGTAAATCATAAATCTGAAACTCAGGAAATATCTGCAGTTTCTATGGAGTTACTTGTCTATCTATACTGAAGACTTAAAGGTCCATTTTGTAATATGATATGAAATATCTCCTTATGGGATATGAGATATCTCCTTATGGTCAAGCTTCCACTATCAAAATGACAAAGCCGGTAATAGAAAGTTACCATTGTTATTGACACTTTCTCTATTGAGCTTTGTTCTGTGGGGTGGTTATTCAAACACCTCCTTATTATTTATGTCTTTCTGTGCATCCATCCATCAATTTCCCTTTAATTTATTTTTACATATTAATACAAAATGACCCATTTTGAGCCTTATGTGGCCAACAGTCTGGACAGCAAATGGGTGCTTATAGCAGATTAATGCATTTGTGAATCAATTCTGATTACGAGCAAAAACCTAACTGAGTGAAATATTCTGGTTGTGTCTAAAATCATAACCTTACATGCAAGAATCATGGAATTCTGGCTGCATCTTCTTCTAGCTTAGCTATCCCTTGAGCATTTATTCATTTGTTTGCCCTTGCCAAAATAATTATTCACCTAAACACAGCCCCCTCATGATGTCAATGGAAGTCTGAGCAACCTACGGCAGAGAATGTTCAAAGCTTATATTACTACAGAACAATGTTGTCTTCTGGTTCATTTTATTTCCTTGGATATCCTGTTCTGTGAGAAGAGTAATCCTGTAACTAAAGCTGACTTGTGATTTTTCACAGTATAACAAAATATAACAAAAATGCCTACATTCCACCTTTTAATGATTAAGTCTCTCCAGTGCCGTGAGCCTTGGACATGCAGGCACACAAGTAATTTTATCCACATGAACAATCCCACTGAAATCCTTGTGTCTACACACGTGTAGCATTGCACATATTCACATCAGCAAGATCAAGGACTGCTTTTGTCAAGAACATCTGCGGCAAAGGAATCTTCTTGCAAATAATCAGTGTCTACATTAGCAAACCTCATAGATTTGCTTCAGTGCTCAGTCACCCACAAAAGTCACTGCCTTGGATAGCACTTGCTTTGAGCAATATTCCTTGAGTAATTTGCTTTAAATTCTTTAAACTCTATGATAGCATAGTTTACTGAAGCTTTCAGAAATATTTATTTATTTATTTTTAAAAGATCATAATCACTTATTGGAAGTAGTTACAAATCAATGCAAATGGTGTATTTGAAAGTCAGAGTTAAGAACTTGCCAATTGGTATTTCATTCTGCATTACTTAGTGGTCAGGATGATGTCTTCCTATCTTCATACATTTTTTTTCACCTGATAATGTTGAATTTTTGAACAACAGTGTGAGCACAGTTTGTATAAGTAAATGAACCATGGCAGCAACTGCAATTCAGTCAGCAATGAAAGCATGATCAAAATGTATTAAATTATTTGTAATAGTTTCTCTGCAAGAAGGCAAATCTATTTGAACAAAAAAAAAAAAAATAAATAGCTAGAATATGAAACTGAAATAATAAAAATGTCGTGTCCCTTTAAATAGTATATGAGTGTTCAGATACTCTATATCTTAAGTGGTATTTCATTCTAAAGGAACTAAGAAAAGTAATCTGTGGCTAAATGTATGGGGTTTCAAAAGAATTGCTCCACAAGTAGATTAAACAAAGAAGCCCAGGAAAAAAATAATAATACATATATACACACACACACATAGATATATATATAACACCATTCTCAAATAGCCAATACATTTTCATAAAACATAAAAGATAAGCTACAGTGTTATGTGACAGCTAAAAACTATGGTATTGATTCCTAAAAATATTGATTTAATTTTATCAAAATGTATTTATTCATCACTGCTGCATCAATGATCTTCTGTATTTTATATGTAAATAATCTATTCTATTCCCTTGATCATGTTAATCTTACTAATGACAAATTACCATTCTCCACGTACAGTTCCTAGATTTACAAATTATCACTCCTGCTTTCAGGGGACTGAGAATCAGCCACGCTTGCTAATGCCTCCATGGATCGCCTGACACATAGCAGATTTTTATATTCCCTTTTAAAGCATTCAGCTCACAAGAAATAATTTATAAATCTGGCTATCACTCGCACTTATCCTCTTACTGCTTGAGGGGGAAAAAGAACAAGATCAAATTGTGAGGATTATTAACAATTTAAGAACTTTATTTGCTTCAATTAACTCTTTGCAGGAAGAACTGCATGCTAAAGCATGTTGTTTTTAGGGAAGGAAGGTGAAGTATCCTGTCTATTTAATTATGGTGGATAATTCGGACAAACAGAAAATAATATCTAGAAACACTCTTAATTCCCTGACTTTGAAAAAAAAAAATAAAAGAAAAAAAAAAAAAAAAAAAAGAAACTCTTGAATTTTAAATGTGCATTTAAGCCTAAAAGCTCATCTCTGCAAACAGAACTTGACTTGTGTTAAGGAATTAGAACTGTGACAAATCAAGAAAAACTCAGACTCGGGGATTGTCTGTCTTGCTCTGCACCTGTGCATAGTAGAGGCAAAATACTACCAGTCTCATTGGGAAGCACTGTCCCTCCATCTGATGTATGTTTCTTTTTTCTGTCCATGATTAGACAACGGAGAATAAGATCTTCGAACTTCACCCTTCCTTTAGGTTCACATGACTCACGATATCTCCTGACTGCAACCTTCCCCTTCCCATGCAGCGAGAAATGCTTGTGATAGTCACAGAACGGTTTGCTACCTTTTGTTGCAGGAAACTCCTTTTTCTCCTCCTCTTTCAGTGCAAGGGAATGAACAGCAGTGGCTGAGGGACTGCTGGAAAGGAAAGGTGCTCCTTCACTGTAAAAATGTTTTCAGAGTCCCTTTGAACATTTCTGTCACCCACTCAGAGCCATGGGGAAGAGTAGGAGGACCCCGGATGTCAAACGAGATTCAGTTGCCAAACACCGGTGCCTAACAACAACTGAGGTGGATGAAAGTTTTCCCTACTGGCTTCTAGTTGCCACTCCAGAATAAAAAGGTCTCCTGAAGGTCCTGCTGGTCCCTTGAGGATGTTTTAGATACCCAAGGCATCCAAAATGCTAACACACACCTGGATTCAGGTGACTGAATCCCTCTCATTGAACACAGCCAGCTCCCACGACAGTCCATGAAAGTCTGTAAACGATACCAGTTAACATTATTTGTGATCAATATCAACAATCAGTATCTTCTGACAGTATAACATCTATTTAATATAACTAGCATTAACAATGTAAAGAGCCCATGGCATCTACTAACAACCTGATTAAGTGTGTATAACTGGTGCCAAAATCTCCATTACTCTGCTCAGTGCTACAGAGAAGGCTAGTGGAAAGTTTCAGATGGTGCACATGTGTTACTGATGCTCTAGACACCTTCCCACAAAAGGAAGAGAGACACAAGAAACCCCTCAGCTGACAAATCCTTGTTCTGTAGGAGAGAAATTATTGTGAATGCTTCTGTTAGCTTCCCTTCTGCCTGACCATTCACCGTATATAACCACAGTACTGACCATATGTGTGACAGGATTTTCCTCATTAGGAAGTCTTTTCTGCCTAAAGAATAACTTTAAGTATCCTAATGGAATCTGTAATTAGAAGAATACAATATTTTTTAAACACACTCCAAACTCCCATTTCTAATGCATTAAAACCAGGTTCATTTTCAGCAGTCTATGCAGCAATATGTATTTACGATCCTCTTGAAGCACAACTTATTGGCCTGTACAGTACAGCTATTTCCATTTGTCACATTGATATGTATTTAGGGACTATCTAAATACAGACTGGATCGATTATAATGGTCGGTCATGTAAATTTTCCTTAGTTCAATGACCATTGCTGCAATAGACTTTCAGAACCACTGCAGTCTGTCATGAATCTAATCTATAGAAACTTAATGCTGATATACATTCATTATACTCAGGTTTTCATTTATGTTGCGGATGAACACAAAGGCTAATATTTGGAACTGGATGGCATTTGGGCATGTATTTTGTTAACTCAGATGATAGGTACAGCCTTATATGCAAACTTCCACCTTCTTCATGAATAAAGCAAGATTAAGCCCCTTCCATCCTCTAAAAAAGAAGAGTGAAGATTTTAAAGTGAAGGAAAAGTAGCCTTATTTTTTGAAAATAACTTTTCTTTTCCCTCCTTTAAATACTCCAGCTATCTGTTCAAGACATCTTATTACAAATATGCTCCTTCAATTACATTTCTTTTAAGAATGTCAAGGGAAAAAAAAAAAAAAAAAAAAAAAAAAAAAAAAAAAGGGCCTTCTACACATCATTTCTTACAGAGAGGCTGAAAATGCTCTGTCTTGCCTTGTGTGTACACCTCCCAGCTCTTGCTATTGCTAGTAGCTATTTTAAAAATAATTAGCTCCTGGAACTATAAAGTACTGTGCCAACTTACAGTTACAAACAAGCATATACAAAAAAAAGTCTGCCCTACTCTATGTCACAATTTGAGCTGGTTGGTTTTCCACTGTATTTTCTATATAACTGGAGTGCTTACCCTGTAGCAGAATCAAATGTTCACATTCCTACCATGAAAAAAAAAAAAATCCATAACTTGAGGGTAATTGCAACAGGTAAATCCAAAGTGGTTAGTGCAGTTAACTTCATGTTAATTTTAGTTAGAATCTAAGGGTTACTGCCTACAAACATTCATTCATGAGTCATTCAGTGACAGCCAATGAAAATATTTGGTGAATAAACTTCCACGTACGCTTATACGTTCCAGTCCTAACAGGGTACTAATAAGCAATTCAGATATGTAGTTTACTTCCTCATATGCATTAATGTTAATTACAAGTAACCAGAATTATAAAGACAATGTAATTACATTCTAATTATAGTATAACCACAGCCACTGTGTTATAAAGTGTAATACGATTTAAAAAAAAAAAAAAAAACTTTCACTCCCTATAGACACTTCATTTTAGCAGATGCTTTTTATTCTTGCTTTTTCATATCCTACCTTTCAATGATGCACATCTGAGCATTCAAACATTTCTTTGACCCAGCTTTCACTGAAAAGCAGAGCAACGTAAGTAATATTATCTAACCCCATTTTAAATGAAGATATGTTCACTTTTTCTTTATAGAACAGGGGAAACAGGAATTGGATAGGTAGAGTCCCTTTCTTTTCACTGTAGACAACACTCGAATCTTAACTCACCAGCAGTCAGTGTTAGTCCAGTAGCTTTCTACATGGAGAATGTGAAGTACTGCAGTAAGGCTTAACAGTTAAGTAAATATACAATAATAGGCACTAGAGACATGCAATATGTAATATGTACATAGCAGGTACATTCTAGATACTCACTTTCTGTCATGATATTGGTATGGCAGGAATAAATCTAGTTTTTCCTCGTCAGCGTAATGGGTCATAATTGGCTTTCTCTGGCACTAGGAACAATGATACCAGCAAAGAAGCAATAGGACAAAGCAAGTCAACATGCCTGCCACATCACTGAGCAGGGAGGAAAGGAAGAAATAGAAGCAATTATTACTCATCTATCTTAGCACATTCTCACATCCAAGAGCTCATACTGACAGAATTGGTCATCGTTTTAAATATACTCCGAAAGTTGAGAGAAAGAGCAAGCCAAGATAAGAAGGTAACCATTTCCACCTGAAGAAGGGCATGCCTAGCTGTGGGAAAACAGCATGAGGGAAAACAGAGTGGCTGTCCAGGATTTCACTGTATTAAGCTGGAAAATAATTCCCTTGAGGAAACACCTAAAAGTCCGAGGGATTTGCTGACATAGTTGGAGTCTCTTGTTTCCCTTGAGGATGAGAGGAGAGTAAAAACAGAACAAGACAACAAAGCATGACAGTTAGGAGAAGTGCTGTGTGCTCAAATATATGTTTCCAGGCTGGAAGAAGGAAATGTTGTAGAAAGATGATTCTTCCCCATTGGCAAAGGGTAGCATTGCCAAAGAGAAGAAATGAAATAAATCATAAGTCAAAGCCAAACAAACCCAAGAGACTTACTTCTACTCTTAGAAGAACATGAATCCTGTCTCCAGGGTATGTGTGTCATCCTACACACCTGTATTACATAGCCTGGCTAGTAGCATCATGCCCTGGAAAGAAGAAGACACTGCCAGGTGGAAGTGGTTCATTCCCTGTTTGCCTTACAAGGAGCCTACTCAGCCATCTCAGCAGTAGCTGCCCACACCATCCCAGACCTACTCAGGGCTCATTGCTATTTTCTAATAGATACAAAATACTAGATAAAGAAGCCCAGTTCAAATCATGGAGAGAAAGTTTTGAGATTCTGAGTCTCACCCATGTTGCATTTTCCTTCCCAGAAAAGTGAGAAGAAAAAAAAATCTCAGAAATATTACAGCCAGCATACAGTGGCTTGAAGAGACAGTAAACGCAGCAAAGCTTCACCAAAAACATTTCCTCTTTTGTTGTCCTGTTCAAGGAAAGGTTGGATGTGGTGCTTGGTGACAGGGTGTAGTGGGTGACATTGGTGGTAGGGTGGTGGTTGGACCAAATGATCTTGGAGGTCTTTTCCAACCCTAATTATTCTATGATTAACTAGGCCTTTTTATCAAGTGAGGCTATAACTCACCATACACATACCCTTTATAATATAGCATAATCAACAACATTTAACAATTAATTCTTTTACGTTGTCTTCAAGGTCACACTATTAGATGAGTTAAAGGTGAGGAGATAGGGCAGTAACATATCATTTATACTCCAGAAGATGCTGGTTCTCTTAATTTTGTAGATACTAGAAGAGTCTTCCCTAATTACCAATAGAAAAGAAGAGGACCATGAAAACTCAGTATTATCCACTAACCATAACTGAGGTCAGAAAAATAAGGCACAGACACAGGGAGCTACCCACATGCTTAATGCCAGCTGCCAGAGCTGCTCGTCTTTATGACTGGCATAAGTGTGATGACATGTCCTTAATGGAGAATATAGCCCATTTCACAATGATACATTCACAGGACATCATCTGCGTGTATGTTTAAGTTTCACTGGTGAGGAAGCCTTTAGATGATTAAATTCAAGAGGGGAAAAAGACTTCAGGGAAGAAACCACCCATCATTCAGTATTTTCTCCCCTGAACAATGGACTAAATTAAATGAATGTGTGAAATAATAATATGCAAATCATTACATTTGCCCCTGCCAAAATGAAAAGGGCAAAATAAAATGTGTATACTGTAATGAAACATCACAAAACGCTATGTACTTTAAGGATCAGTTATTTAGAGTAAACAAGGAAAATAGTATTTAAAAAATAAAATAACTAAGACAAAACATAGCAAGTAGTGGTTAGCAATGGTTGCTGTGCAAATTCATCATTTTGGCCTGAATACAAATAACCTGTATATGTATATTTTAAGAGTGGGAAAAGACTAAACTAGATAGTTTCTAATGCTAGGAGATTCTGGCTAGGCAACTCACCCTTGCCAGTCTATATGATAAAGTATGCGTGAAAGGAGATATCCCTTAGGCACGTCTACTATCCAATATAGCTAGCAATAACATCATTAAAAGTTTTAAGTCAATAGGAGAAACTTCCTCCTGTTATCTAATGCAACTGTGATCGTCCTACTAATTACTGTTATATAATAAAAAGGCCTATGTTCATTTTATAGGAATCTCATTAAAAATGCATCTGACACTTGCACAAACACTGACCTGGAGACATGGAGAAACTAGATTACTTATTCTGTACACTTAGCAATAAGCAACATTTCCAAACAAGTGTAGTTTGGAAAGCACATGCACATTTACTTGAAGGGGGGGAAATCAACTTGGGAAACCTGAATAATGAGCCATAAGCAAACAGTCACAACCCCAACAATCTGATAATGGTGTCCTCCCAAAGCCATGAGTGTATGACTAACCACTTATTTACATTACCTCCTGATTATATCCTACACACTTGGAGAAATACCTTTGCAGGTCCAGCTGATCTCTTGTCCAATGAAAATATTTCATTTCTGGAGAGCAAGGGGACTCCTTGGTGTGAGCAGCTTGCTCACAAACCCCACATCAGGGTGTGGTACTGGGCAGCTGCAGCCCCTGGCCATCATTTGCCCTACTCCTCTTATATCTAGGAAGCCACATCTCCTGCAGTTCAACTTTGAAAAGAATCATTTGCATGCACATCCTTGCTTCTCTTTTTCTTTAAGAAAGAAAATAAAAAGAGGGGAGAAGAGCTTCCTGCACAACATTTATGTCCTTTATTCTCATCTCTTCTTACTGAACAACCTCTTTTGTCCTGTAGGAACTGAAACTATGATCAGAAAAACTCTTCATGCTAGAAATATGAGCTATTATACCTTTTTTTTTTTTTAAATGAAGTATGTGGTGTGATGCATTGCACACATTTCTAACTCCTCTAGGGAAAGTGCAAATGGTAGAATGTGTAGTCAAAAAAATAAGAGCCAAATATATAAAATATATAGGTTAACAGAAGGAAGGAAGGAGGGAAGGAAGGAGGGAAGGAGGGAAGAAAAAAAGGAAGGAAGAAAGAAAGGAAGGAAGGAGGGAAGGAGGGAAGAAAGAAAGGAAGGAAGAAAGAAAGGAAGGAAGGAAGGAAGGAAGAAAGAAAGGAAGAAAGGAAGAAAGGAAGAAAGGAAGAAAGAGAAAGGTTTCATCCGAACTAGGAGCAAGCAATCCAGGAAGCAAACAAGACAGCAGCTAGCATCTTATCAGAGCAAGGAGATCAGCAGCAAAGATCAAAATGGTGTCTCAGCATATTAATGTTGTCAATGTCTATGAGTCTCAGTGCTCAAAAAGACCACAGCAGTAATCTTGGTGCAACACAGCCAATCATCAGCAGTTTGCTTGCAGAGTTCAACAGGAAACTCTCACATTTATCGACTCTGCTCCCTCATCAGTATATGTCACTGCACTCCATAGAAGCTAACACTGTGTTAATTTATCAGCAAATCGAAAGCAGAATAAAAATGCAACTTCTGTCTTTTTCTGAGTCACTTATTTGCTTCAGTGCTTTATTTTCCACTCTACATGATAAAATATAAGTTTTTAGCTTCAAATTCTGGAAAAAAAAAATGACAAAAAAAAAAAGTAAATACAAATTAAATTCTTGTTTGGTACAAGTGTACAAACACTATGTTTACAACCAATCCAGCAGGGTAGACAGGACCTGAAGAGTCCTGTTAACTGCATGTCCAGATCAGGCAGACTTCTTTCTCCCCTCTGAAGTTCTCAGGTAAAAAAGCTGATTGAATGGCAGTGAATGTGTAAAATAGCACATATGAAATGCAATCCAAAACCAGCAAAAGTCATGTTCTGGCTCTGCAAGGAAGGTAGCCTAGTCCTCACAGATTCACTGCCCACCTATGACTGTTTACTCAGTCATTGGCTCTTGCCTTGGGCTGATATGTGTCAGCATATCTCCACAAAACTGGAGGCCACACACATTTAGATCAAATTGTTTTTATGAAATAGTTAAATTTAAAAGTAAAGATATTAGATAGGTTTTGAAGCTGACACAGAAAAAAATAAAATAAAATAAAATAAAATAAAATAAAATAAATAAATAAAATAAAATAAAAAGTCTTTTGACTTTTTTTTAATTAATTTAATATGCTTTATGTGTCTGAGGATTTTCAAATTAGGATCTCAGAACAGGGAAGGAAGAGGCATCGCTTAGTGCAGTTTTGCCAGTATATGTCAATGCTCAGCAGTGGTTTATTACCACAGACGTAATGTTGCATGAGAGCTCAGAGCTCTGCAGAAGAAAGCTTCTAGCTGAAACCAGAGGAGATGGTATGGTATAATGTACGCATACTGTATATTTACCACACATTTTACAAGCAAAGCTGTATAGGCCTGCTAGTTCTGTAATGAACACGAGTGGTCGAGGTGTTGATTTGCATCTCAGATGAAAAACAACTGCCCTGAAGCCAGTGTCCTTAACACTGCATTGGTTACTGTTAACACAAAGGGAAAGGTGTCACCTGCAAAGTCAGCAACATCAGCTCCTGCAGCAGCACACCAGGGCGTTTGCTGGAAGTCTTTTCTTCAAGAGGAGAAGAGTGACCTGACCTTGCTTGTGGGCTGTATACAAATCAAAGCACAGGATAAGATGGCAAATTCAGAACAAAAATTGAAAGGAGAAAGAAGAGAAGCACGACTTCTTACAGCTAAAAATGCTTCATCCAAGAGCCAGAAACCAAAATTGTTCTTTTTGTTGTCATTATGTAATACCTAAGTTACAAGGAGACAGCAGTGTTTTCCCTCTAGTAGCTTCCTGCCCACCCCCTGCAAATAAAAATAAAATATTTTATAGGGTTTTTTTGGTTTGGTTTGGTTTGGTTTAAGAAAAGTCCACTGTATAAGCTAATATTGTGGAACATTTTGGATATCTCTTTTTGAACCCAAGGAAGAAATCTACCAAGTCAGTTTCAAGTCAGAGAACTGTTGCAAGCTCTGGCTGGAGACCAGGTGAAATATCACATGCCAACATTTGCTCTGTTCAAGCATACTGTACCCAAAGTCAGATCTGTATAGCAAACAAAGACTGGAGTTCTCTTCTGAATGCTTTACACCTAGAAGTCCTGGGACAGAGCAAGAGAGGGAGAGAGAGAGAGAGAGAGAAAAGACTGTCAAGAGAAAATCATCAAAATGCAGATACAAATCAAACTGCTGAGCTCAAATCATGACTAAATAGTTTGCCTACAATGATAACATCAGAAAGATAAAGAAAGAACAGTGAGCTTCATTCAATCCCAGTTAAAAATGTGACTGTGGTAGGACAGTAACTAAACACACAAAAAAGGGTCCTTGTGATAAAGTTATGCTCCTAAATACAGACCATAAAGTCAATTAATATTTACTTAAGTACTTGTCATTTAAAGAGGGAGCAGAGGAAAAGATCAATATAACTAAAAGCTAGTGACACCAATTTGCATCCAGTTCCAAATGCATGTTTTATTTATTTTCAATCAGGATCAATCAGGGAAGAAAATAATCAATGAAGTCGCAGTCATGAGTGGTATTTGGCCATCTGGGGGCCCCAGTATCTCTCGGCCTGCATTGGAAGCAAGGGAAAAAATTTTTTTTTCAAGAGCACGGAGGAGCTCCATATGGTTGAGATCAAAGGTGTTGCTGGGTGCATGGTTCTGCTTTATTGCCAGGCACTGCTGTTAATTAGAAAACAAGATCAGAGGCAGTATTAAAATCCAATTAAATTGATATGAACAGATTGCCAAGTGATGTTCACTAATGTATAATTGAGCACCATGCAAATTTCGGTGGCTGCCTTTTGTTTTTTCTCCCCTCACTCTGGAATGAATGATGAAGCTATGAAGTTTTTCCTCGTTGTAAAAGATAAACAAGTTAATGCACTGATCTAGGGGGTATTGCTTCAGTGATTGATGAAAATGAGAGTGGAATATTAACGTGTGACTTTTGGGGGGCTTCTTTTATAATTTTATTTTGGTCTTCATTCTTTATTATTGTTGTTGTTATTCTTGTTATGGTGGTATCCAAGTACATGCGAAGATCCTTCATCAATCCATCATTTCAGATACAGAGAAAGTTCCTTTGTAGCTGAAGATTTGATTCAAACAATTACAAAACCATGAATATTTCAAGTGACAGGCCTGCTACTGCTGGAAATTAACTTTTTCCAAGAACTATATGGACTTTATACCGTATATCTTTGTTTAGAATCCGCAGCTTCTATTAAATTTAATTACTTCCCTGTGCAGCTTTATATTGAGGGTGACTTCAAAACGAGGGCAGCAGCTATTAAATTTAATTACTTTCCCCTGCGGCTTGCATAGTAAAGGTACATGGTTAAGGTGCAGCTACTAAATGAGAGTAGCTTCTAAACAAAGATATACAATATTTATACCATATATGACTCCCTTTCCTTATCTGTCTTTAACATATATACTGTGTGTGCACACAATGCAGGTTCATAGTTAAGTGAAATTATTAAATACAAAATGCTAACTTAAAAAAAAAAAAAAAAAAAAAAAAAATCTGTAATATTTAAATCGTATCTATGTTTCGTTCTCTCTTTGAATGGCTCACATGCTTCCACTTGCAATTCACTTAAAGTTCGACATAACCAGCTTTTGTAAACCACTACGTTCCAGGAAAATTCCAGGATGCAAAATTCATTAAAATATTCTAGGAATTCTTAAGTCTTTCAAAAATAAATTAAAAAAAAAAAAAAAAAGAAGCTTTTTTGTGTGTATGTAGAGCCTATCTTCAAGAATAGCACTGGGCTCACAAATAAATGATAAGCATCATCTTGTAAACCTAATATATTAGTATCATGGTATTTAATCTAATCTATTATTTGCTAACTGTGAAGATATATTGATATAAATACTGGTTTTCAAAACTGGATCAGAGTTAGTGCATAAAAGACCAATAAGTCAAACGAGCCAATGTCTGTTGTAGTGTTCATGAGATATTAGTGGAGCTTTTGGAAACTTTAAATTCTCTTCAAAGAAGATTACATTTAATCAAATAATGCCAGTTGTGCATGTGAGCAGATCAACAAAACTGATTTTGCACTTGTGCTTGCATCAAGATGGAAAGTTATGTTTGTTTTATCTGTGCTCACCAGTGGAGGGAGGAGAACGCAAGGAACATTATGGCACAGGGAACGTATGGCAGTAATTTGGGGTTTCACTCCTTTGTTCCATTTTAGATAAACACCATGGGGCATTAAGATGTCAATACAACCTCATCACAATCACGGGAATTTGTGTACTATTTCTAGCTTAAAGTTGACTTAAAATCTTTTGCAAAATTAATATAAACCATGGGAAACTCCGTTACCATGTAAGCAAATGAAGAAGCTGTAATGTGTTAAGTGCATTTCCAAAATCATTTTAAAGAACCTGATTCTACCCTAGCAAGAGGGAAAGAGGAAAGAATACTAGTAACTTCAGGAGGAACATTTAGTGTTCTGGTAAAATAGTGCTCTGCCAAAGTAGATTTATGGAAACTGAGAAGTTATGAAGATCACAGCTTAATCCCAGGCAAAAATGTGCTTTTACATCAAAAACTGGAGTGATGATCGGAAACATTAAAATACATCAGCTTAAACTTGTGTGTGCAAACACAGAAATATGAGGTGTTATAAATGTTTTGTTAGAAACTAAATTTTCATTAGTTTGGTTTGAGTATTTTAGGGGGTTGAGGATTACTCTTTGTCCTTTCCTTCCTACTTTGACTCAAGAAAGAAAAACAGAAAAAAAAAAAAAGTGATAAGCAGGAAAAAAAATACTGAAAAGTGAAAATAGAAAGAAAAGAAAGAAAAGAAAAGAAAAGAAAAGAAAAGAAAAGAAAAGAAAAGAAAGAAAGAAAGAAAGAAAGAAAGAAAGAAAGAAAGAAAGAAAGAAAGAAAGAAAGAAAGAAAGAAAGAAAGAAAGAAAGAAAGAAAGAAAGAAAGAAA